TTACCCCTTACACTAAGGTGATCCATATTCACTGGATTTTTGCCCTTAAGAGTAAGCTTTACAGTCTTCAGATGCGTATTCATGCTGATATCAACACCTACAAAAAAAAAAGAGGCCAAAAATTGCAGTTTCAGATGACAGCATTGAAATATCTTGGAAGATTCCTTTTTCTGCATAATAATTTTTTATCTAATAATCCAGTTGACCTCATCAATGGGGAAAACAATGGAGTTGGGGCTTAACAACTCCTCAATCTTCATAAAAATAATCGATAAATGAGTAATTTTTAGTGAAACGATAATGCATTTGGATTGTTACAAATCAAGAGTTCCAAAATGTGAAGTTTGAAGTAACTCACTCGAAAACGGGCGGCTGTATGATCAAATCTGCAGGAGTGCACTAGTGCCGGGAAATAAAAGGTTTTCGCATGAGATTATGACACTAATTTAGATTTAATTACAAACTAATGATAATTGACACCAATATTCATCTAACAGATGCCAGAAGAGTTTTGGTAGTCTCCAAAAATTATATCTTGAAATTTATCTGCATTTTTTTTCTTTATTAGTTATCCTCCCCAGCCAATGTATCCATGTTACCATAAGTGATACCTAGGAATTCCCAAGATTTATTACGGAACATCAATACCAAACCGCTCGAAACATTGCAGTAATCGAACATCTGATGGTGTTAATGAGCTAACCAACCAATATTCCAAAAGAAGCTAGAAATTTGAGAGTCCAAGATCACTCAAGAACAATCATGGAAAATTAAAGGCTTTTTCACCCCATTTCAAACACATTATATTGTAATAAGAGGAAAGACTAGGAGAAAATAAATAATTCCAGCTACACATATTATTGATATAAATCACACTGTACTATATCTCGGACAACCCTAAATGCATAGAATCACTGTAACATCACACTGCAAATTGTTCGCAATTCACCTACAATAGGAAATGCATAAAATCCCTTACATGTCATAACTCACTATGCAAATTGTTCGAATTCACCTCGAACTAAAAATGCCTTAAATATCCAACATGTCATACAATCAGTCAATCACTGTAACATCACAATTCAAATTGTTCGAATTAACTTCAAACTAAAATGCATAAAATCCCTAACATGACACAGAATCACTGTGACATCGCAATGCAAATTGTTCGAATTCACCTAAAAAAAATTATACGCAAAAATCCCTAACATATCATAGCAACATCACAACGCAATAACCAAAAAAAAAAAAAAAAAAAAAAAAAAAAAAAAAAAA